GCCCAAGAATAACCACAAAATCAATCCAGGCTTCCAGAGATTAAAATGGAGTCGTCAGGTGTCGTTTCGTTCTCGGTATGACCCCCGGTTTGGGCTTTGTCGGTATGCATCTGTTCATGCCAAGCTTTCGAGCCATGTGGTGAAGCAGTGGGATGCGTTTCCTGATGCCTTGCGGTTGCATGGGGCCGAGTGAACTTCCTGGACCTTTGGATCATTGGGATGCCTAGCTTGCTCTGGAGGCTGAGCCTATTCAGTAGCATGTTTCTGGTCCTTTCACTGGTCAGATCCACGTTTTCTGTCCGAATCTGCCAGTGCCACGTTGAAGACAGCATGGAGCTTCCATGTCGCTTCTGGCCCAGCAGTGTGGCATCTGGGTCCATGGCATTCTTCGGACTATCAGATCAAACAGTGCCGAGTTTTTATACCACATGGTGCAGGGCTGGGTCAATCCCTCCAATAAAGCGGCAGTTGCCTTCAGTTGGACATGGGTTTTTGATTGTTCACATGGTGAAACACCCTTTGCCATCCACCAGACCTCTCTCTCAGCTGTGCTTGACTCAAGAGTCCGAGGCAGTTCACGCCTAGGCTGACCCCATCTCTTTCGTGTAACTCTTAGGTCCCCCCACCGCCACGGTCAACCTGGGCGACGCTTCTCGCGGTGTTTTGGGACGACATGCAGAGTGCCGGGGAGTGGGCGTGGCTTCGGGGAAGAACCTCGGTGTTCCAATTGCAGCCCGTGTGTTACACGTCTGGAATATGATCAAAGGTGAATCACATGGATCTTAAGTTGTTTTGATCATCTGTTGCACTCACGGTGGTGGTTTGCTGGTGGCCTCTCGGCCAAATCTGTGCAAGGTGGTTTCTGATCTTCCGGAAGTGGTTGCTGAAGCAGCACGTTCACGCCCAACGAGTGGCCCATCTGGTGCTGGATGCGATTTTTGTACACATCGGAACCACGGCAGTCCACCACGGCAGTCAACCCAAATTAACATAATATTGCACCTCCAAATGGCAAAATAAAACCAAACACCTGGAAATGGTTTCTATCTCTCGACAGTGATTTGAAGCCACAAGTTTTTGGATGCTCCAGAATTCTGGTGTTTTAGGATGATCCACAATGACATGTTATTAACTGGGCGAGGGTATAATGTTCCAATCAGGATGAATCACCATTCGCATGACTGGGGCAAATCTGATCTGCTTCAGACTATACAAAGTGCCGGCCATGTGGCGAGGTGGCCGCTACCCCTAAGGCAAGGGGTGCAATGGCCTTGGGCGAATCACCAAAAGCAGCGGGACTTTGGGGGAGAAAAGGCCCTAAAACTGGAAGGCCAGCGTGTGGTCCAGATTCAGTTCCAGCTCCAACAGGGCACTAGGTGGAAAATCAAATGCATTCAAGAATCCGCCAAGTATAAACTTTCTGGTTTCTCAACCTTTTCGCATTGGTATCCTAAGAAATCTATCCATCAATTTCCAGCATATACAGCAAACATGAGCAAAAACGGTCAAAAAGCACGTGGTCGACGATGTAAGTCGCCAACTCATCCAAAGTCTTTTGCGGCTTGCAGGTGTGGAAGCCTCTTTTAGAAAACCAGTTGGATGGTTGTTTTTTTTGAGTGTCGCACATCCTTCCAACTTTGGACTTTTCCATCTTTAAGCGCCTAATCTCAATTCCACATCTGGAACTGTCATCTGCATTGTCAGACGTTTATGAGAACAAAACAGCAACAAGCACATATCACCAGTGCACTGGTATACCTATACATAAGTCTGCTCCAGCAACAAAAAATATTGGTTTTGACCGCTCCAGCATATCAAACATATCTTCCTTTTTTTTTGCCGACTGGAAGTTCCTGTGCATGACATGTGCCTTGAACGACTGCCAAAAAAAGGGCCAGGAACAAACAGGTGACCCAGTTTCACTTGATTCGGAGCCATCCGCGACTAACACCCATTTCCGCACAAAAGCCCAAGGAAAGTCTCATGGGTTGTAAAGGAACATGGTCTTGAAACGGGGTCATTTTGAGGTTCCATGTTCGTCCGCGTCCACTTCACCAAGGGATCCAGCGCTGAGACCCTGGCCATGGCTGGCTTAGTCGGCCATGACGCCGCACTTTGGTGCCGGGGGGCGGCGTTGGTTTAAGTTTTTAAATGTCTTTGTTTCCTTGAACTAGGCTTCTGGCGAGACCAACAGCTGATGAAGTGCAAAAACATAAGTTTCCTTCCTTTTCAAAGCACCACCCATAGCTTCTTGTTACTACTAGTAAGGCACTTGTTACTACTAGCGTGGCACTTGTTACTAGGGGCTTATTGTTTCTAAGGTAGAACTGATTGGACACTCACAAACACCTCAACGCCACAGAAATAAACACCCCAGCCGAGAGGATGTACCGACCATGTGCTGCGCCAGGATGTACCGTACCCTTTACCGTATCAAGATGTACCTAGTGACTTATTGCATACTTTTGGGATCAAGCCATATGTTGGTCGGTGCGAAGATATGCACAAACATGCGGTGAAAACGCACCTAAAGAAGCCACCTCGATGCGGTGCGGGGCGGTGCGATGGGCTCAGTCACAGGTATCAAAAAGAAAACATCAAGGAATTGTTCTTTTTGTTGGGACCCCGAAGCACTCATGGGTAATGGACAATAGTGGCATACATTATCATACAATTTATATTTGCCGGAACCCCCAAGCAAGTATGCTCATTGGGAATGGATCATCTAATCTGACATTAACTATACCAATGATTTTCTGGGTCCCGGCTTCCTTTCGGGAGGGCCTTTTCGGCAAATGACGTCACTTGGCCTCCACCTTTCGCACCTTTTTCTGCCGGCACGTCGTCGTTTGCCAACTTCTGGGCCTTGGGCCCACGCCACACCAAGAGCGCGGCGCGTGGGGCGCGCCTCCGCCAGCCAAGCCCATGGAGTGGTCGGCTTCTCAGCCTTTGCTCCAAGAACTAAAGCTCCTGTAGGAGGTCACTTTGTCAACTTTTACGGGTACGGTTGTCAGTTAGCCCACTGAGCCAGCTCAAGAGCTGACTCAAGGCGGAAGAATAGGTGTTGATAAAAGTTGGACCTTTTTGCAAGACATCGACACTGAATCGACACTATCTCGCTTTTGGAAGACACCACAAAAGGCTTCGAATCAAAAGCTTGTGGCTTTCGGAAGCATTTTCCTCACCATGGGGCTTTCGGATGAGGCCCTGTGCCGGGGTGAAACTCTGTCGCTCGGAAGTGGAACTCGTTGTCATGTGACTCATGTGTGACGTCCGTGGGCCTCATGCTTGGAAACTACATGAAACGGACCCCTCGTCACCTGCCAAGGTATGAACACTTGACCAAAGGTAGAGGAAAGTAGGGGGTTGCATAAAGCACCCCAAGCTCAAGGTGCTGGAGTTCTTGAGATAATACCATGATAAGAACTCCAGCACCATTATGTAACAACTTTTGTAACATATATATATATATAATAACCATATATCTATATATAGTTATAGCACCATTATAAGAACTCCAGTTCTTGTATAACTTATATAACACCATTATAACACCCGCCTGAGAGGTGAACCCGCCGTTTAAAAAAAAGAAAGAGAAACGCCTGAGCACTCACTCACGACTGGACTACCCAGCTCGAGGGCCCAGGACTCGACTACACAAGAGGGCCTGGACTGACTTTTTGGGCATCTCTCCACTAATGCACTATAGGTCACGAGTCGAGGGTCACTCATTTCATAAGCCATTGAGTATTGGGACATATTTTCTTCGTTCCTTACTTGGGTCTTATAGAATGCGACCTTGCATCGGGACGGTGGAGGTTGACCAAGCGACTGGACTGCTTGAGGGCTCTGAGAACGAAAGAAAAAAACAAACTATCCCTAGTTGACGCATGGCAGTGGTGATTTTGTTGACCTCTGACGGTTGACCACTGGTGGTCAAGACTTTTTGCTTGGAAAGTGATGGTACGGGCACTGCAGCTCGTAGCTGGTGCCCGACTAGCTGCACCAAGACTGCTGGCACTGTTGATTACGGTAGATTCGATGCTGCAGTCGTCCACTTAGACAGGGGACCGGCTCCATAATGCACTTTACATGTTGCCACCATGAACCTCGAGATAAGTGTGTGTGACCATGTGTGACCTATAATTATGTCAATTCTGTTGGTTCTGTGCTTGAAGAACTGGGTCACAGAACGGTGTATACATATATACATACGCAGTATTTCTTTTGGATGCAAAAAGCTCCACTTCAAAGCCTTCAAGAAGCATCTCACATCGCTAGAAGAACCTGCGTGGGGGTGGGCAAAAAAAGAAACATCCATGTTCTGATGCTGTGACCATACCGCCCAAAAAAAGCATTACAGTGGTTTCAGAGTAGATGGTGCAAACCCCAAAAATGTCTTTTAATATGGGGGTCCGTTTAAACCACCCTTTGGAGGTTGTGCCATCTACTCTGAAACCAGTGTAACCAGCCCATGCCTGTTGCCAACAGAAATTCTGAACAAAGATAAGAGGGGAGGACGCACTTTCTACCCTATTCTTATTCCCCAACAATTGGGGAAATCGAGATGGGCCTCCCCCTCGGTGTATATTGACGAGAAACATCGTCTTGTATTCTTTTGTTGTTTTACTTAATAGTAGTAGGGAGAATGCGGATAGATCCGAACTGGTGGCGGCGTTCAGGCAATTTCACGTTCAATTGGCTGGAAGTCATGAGCTGGCCTAATCTATGTCAGCATCAAATCCCTTGGTTTTCGTTTGTTTGCTTTGCAGGTTCTTAGACCTGCAGTGCTCCGCATCGTTCACGAAATTCAACAGGCACGTCCTCATCAAAAGAACCACCAAAAAGTTTACATGTTAAATGTAATATTACACCATTATACCGCATCCTCAGAAGGTAGGAACTAACCCTGAACCCACCCCAACCACCCAAGCTCTCGAAGGTATCCAACCCCAAGAATGATAAGAATGGATATTCCACCCACCACGGGCGCTTCACGCTCAGCGCCCTTCCATCCACCGCGGAACTCGCCCTCCTTTTCGTGCCGCGTTCGCGTCCAACAGCTGCGCCGCGCTGGGAGCACCATCGGCTGCCCCCAAGAGCCGGACGAGTGAAGTCCATTGGGCACCCAACTCATAGACCAGCAGCACCTGCCCACGTTTGGGAGGAGGATGGACCAAACAAACGACCTCCCGTGACTTGGGGGTCATCAGAAAGACCGGACCGGAGGATTCCGGCCTTGAACCGAACCTTGAACCCTTGATTCTGCCGAACAACTTTCAGGTTTGGGCCGTGGCGCCATTGGGGATTTACGGATCTTAGATCACCAACATCGACGGGAGCTGACTATAACTTGACTCTTAGGACATCTGACATGGTAAGGGGTGCATTTAAATAGTGAATAGATGTGAATAGTGGGTTGAGAGTCGATGGCACAAGGGCCCCCCGAGTTGGGTGGTGCAATGATGGACCCCCATCTAAAGGACATTTTGGGGTCTGTGCTATGTACTCTGAAACATTCTGAAACCACTGTAAATTCATTCAACGTCTTTGAACGTGCGATTTGCCAATAGTCTTTGGGACCCCTGTGATGTTTTTTGGACATCTGCAGACAAACGCAGCAGGCACTTGTGCTGACTCAATCGGGCCGCCTTCAAGTCGATTTCCACAAGTTTTGTGAACAATTGGCAAGGTTGAAAAGGGCAATCGAAGAGTGTCGAACTTGAACAGTATATACTATATCAACAAACCATGCACCATTCTTCAAACTTCTTACTTTGGTATAGTCACCCCAAACCAGCTGAGAGAGCCTTAAGAACATGTGTATACTGTATACAATCACATCTACACTGTAAAACAATAAACACAACAGCTTGTTGCTTCAGCATGCCCACCAAGCCCACGTCTCACCCACGTCTCGGCATGCCACATCCCGACACACACGACACACGAACTGGGCGATTCCCACGGTGCTGAAGGTGGCCCAGTTGATGCTCCCGTCGCCGCTACCGGTACCGTCGCAGCGCAGCAAGCGCAGTGCTGCAGCCCAGTGGTGCGAAAGCGTGCACGCTCGTAGGCAGGTCTGGGCAAACGGGGGGGAGAGAGAGGTGGGCAATTGGAGGGATTGAGGAATTGAGTCGGATTGAGATTGAGGGATTGAGGAGAAGGACAAACTCCTAGAAATGAGAGAAAACGACGAACATATCATCATGTAAAAACCCAACCATGAGAGTTGGTCTATGTAATACTATAAGGTTCATGGGTCCGCAGTGGCCGGACTTCAGTTTTTTCCGCACCCAACACGACGATCGGTTCCTTCAGGTCGATGATCAAAATGGGGATCCAGGGATGGATCATGGTTACATGGATGGCATGACCCCGGATTCGATTGACCATCTTCCCGCGTTCCACTTCGAGGAATCATGCTATCCAGCTTCGACGGCGGGATGATTCATGAAACAAGCCCAACGACTCCGGCGCAGCGGCTTCTAGACCTACCAGGTGTTGACTGAATTGAAGCCATTCCCACCACTGCTCAACATGAGCTATGGCTTGGAAAAATGAGCCGACGTTGCGCTATGAATTGGAGCCTGGCACTTGGCACCCTCTAAGTCACGAAGTCACAACGAACAGGTTCCCCTCGTCCGGCTCCGTCCGGTCCGGATCGCCTGACGGACGACGGACGCCCCGATCCCGGTCCCGGTCGCTCGTTCAATAGACCCTATAGGGATCCAGTCGTACCTTCTTAGAAGGTACTTGGACCCTCCACACCTGCATAACAGTGCCTCCAATCACCTTCTGAGAAGGTACTTGGATCATCTTGGATCCCCAGATGGTCCAAGCGTCTGCATAGGTAATGCTATCCCGCTGCGTCTCATCGATGCTGTCCAGAAAATCCAGAGCACGGTGCCATTGAGACCCCGTCCTGGGTCGGTTGAAGAAAACGACGGAAGGTTTTCACATCAAACATCCCCAAAGGACTAGAGACCTAGAGACCTGACCAACTGTGTCAAAGCAAATCACCCGTTTCTAGTTTCAACTGGACCTTGGGGGTGACCCTGGCATGGCATTGAACATGACTCCCTTGAGGACCCATCTGAAAAATGGTCAAATATTCGAACCCCTCATTCAACAGGAAAAAGGTCTCCACATCAGTCACATCAATAGACTCCAGACTCTGATAGAACCAACTTGATCCAACTTCCACCTGTCATTGTGGATCCTCTTTCAACCGTCACCTTCCTTTCGCCTTCCTTCAGGCGTCTCGAGAGCGGTCATGAGCGCATTCCGCGTGATGGTATCAGGATGAAGTTGCCGCGCTCGCACGGAATCGTGCAGCGCCAAGGCCTTGGTGTTGAGCTTTGTTTGGCAAGATGGATTCGAAATAGTTGATGTTTTTTTGAGTTAAGGAGCCACAGGTTAAACATCAAAATATCTGAAGCCACCACCCTTGAGTTCATGTGTTGGTGCGGATGCTTCACTTGGGCAGCTCAGGCACCTGTCTGAGCTGCGACTTCGACCGGAACGCCACGCCAAGGCTAACATGATCCGTTTGGAGGAAGCACGAGGACGGTTCCAACAAAAAATGTGTGCTTTCAGGTTCAATCTTCCAGGGCATTCCTGCAAATGTGTACCTATACCCCTTCTTGTGGAAGGACAAGACCCGCTTCCGAGATTCAACGATTTCAAACTGGCATCGCCCTCCGAATCATGTTTCAACAAGTACGTGCCCAAGCGAAACATCCGTAGATCTCGCGAAACTTGTTTCCTGAGACATTTCGAAGTCCTGGAGGATCAATGTAGACTCTTGATTGATAACGCACCCCTTTGAATTGAACATCTTCAGGCTTGGGGGGTTGAAATATAATCAAGAGTCTACATGACTAAGCCCACTCAACCTGTCCCTCCCGCCCATCGGCCTGCTCCCAGCAGCCACAGCGCGCACACGCACTCAGCGCCGCGTTCACGCTAATGAGGTCGGCATCCAAGCCCTCAGAACCACTGAGTTCCTATGAATCCAAGCACATGCAGGTCAGTGATCGGATGGTCGGGGGTTTATAGGTCTATCCTAATACCTGTAACAGTGGATGATGATGGTTAGGTTTCAGGCCTTGTTCAAAAATAGTGATAATTGTTGTTTACTGTATGTTAATTACAGGAAAAAGCGGACAAACCAAAAAAAACATATAAATATATAAGTATATAGTTATATATATATATTATATGATATATATACATTCATGGATGACAGACAAGTGCCACAAGAAATATTTGGATATGGAGGGGTGTCTTTCTGCCATCACGGAATCTCGTGGAAGGCATTTTGGAGAATCCATTTCGACGCACCACCATGGACCCGGGTCGAATGGTACCCTCAAAGACTGTTTTCCTCTACAAACCATTGGTTTTCAGGGTCTATGTAAGTTTTCAGTGGGGTACACCCGTGAAGCTTCACATGGAACCTGAAAATGGACCTTGGAAACTCTCCAAGGGCTCTGCGGCAGGGCGACCTTCAGGGCTGCTTTGAAAAACTAGCCAGCCTGTTCCTTCGCCCAGCGTCTCCAAATGTGCTTATGGCACAAGAAAGAGCAAAGCAATTACATTTGACATTGACTTCCCGTTCTGACTTCTGGGAGGACTAGCCCCAAAACCTCTTTCCATCGAAAAAAGACATCAGCTTCTTTAACGCCAGAGCTGGAGATGTTTTCGATCCCAGAAGTCACCCGTCCCGTCGCCCCGACCGGAGAACACACCCGGCCGACCCAACGGCCTGACCTGTCCAACGTCATCGGGGCCCTGAAGTCTCAGGGAACGACCCGAAGGACATTGGTTGAAACCAAGCAGCAAGGCTGGCGAGGAGAAGCAATGCCACCTGCCACTGGTGGATCTTCCTGATAGCTGGTGTCACAGGGCCAGCGACGAGTTTAGCTGAGGCCCCTGAAGACCAGATTAGAACCACGAGTTTTATGGTGCGAGATCCACATGTGGATGAAGGCATAGTAGCTTTGCCAACGGAGGTTCCAGCAGCAGCAGCAGCAGCAGCAGCAGCAGCATACGAGAGTTATTCTCCAGCAAACTAACATGGAACCTGAGAATTGACAAGTGGAAGACCATTGTCCTCTACAACCCTATGGTTTTGGGGTTCCATGCTCAGTTTGCAGGTGAACATGTTCATACACTTTCGGATTCTATACTCCGATCCTTCAATGACACGATGCCGAGGATCCAAGAGGGCACACGGACCCAACTGAGGACATGCCCGACTTTACTACACTCTTCTCTCTACATCTCCACGTTCCATATCACTCTTCATGCTGGACATGTTTGTTTCCATACCTTAACTTGAGGCCGAGGATTCCAGCCCCTCACTTGCCTTTAACAAGAACAACTTTCTTTTCTTAGCTGGTTCTTCCTTCCCCTCATCGTCTCACATCCGCCATGCCGGCCCTTCTCACTTCCGCCGAGAACCGACCGCCGAAGACCCGGTCACGGTCTTGCGGTCCAAGTCGCTCACACGCGCTGATGGCGGAGTTCACGCAAACCACCGAGGTGGGCACCTGCGATCGAGGTGAGCGCTGCGCCCTGGAAGCAATCCCCACAAGCGATGGGGACTGGAATGTATTGTGGCTGTGGGACCACAGGTCCAATGAAAAGAATAGCCCACCAGGGTCACCAGTGAAGTGAACCTATACGAGGGTTTAGGGTTCCAGGAACTGTTCTTCGATCAAAACAAGCCCAGTCCAAAACCTTCCGGCCAGGATGAGATGACCCTCCGACTCCTAGCTAGCTATAGCTAGCTTGCCCAAAACTGAATGGCCGAATCATGAACATCATCCTTCAATTCCAAGAAGCTGGACAAGGTGGAACAACATCCCCCAGAATCCTTCAGAGCATCCATGTATGGAACAGGTTGCATACACACTCTATTGATGACCCATTTTACCCATCATCCGCTGGAGGCGCTCACTCGATCCGCCTGGGCGTTTTGCATCTCCTCGAGGAGTTGGATGGCCACCTGCCACTGGTGGCTCCTCTCACAGGCGCCGATGGCCGCGCCGTAGCAGAACTCCTGGGAGCGCACGTCTGCGACTGACCGGGCCGAAGCTAATGGGCCGATGCTGTGGACAAAAGGTATTTTTCATGAGGGGTCTTTGAAAAGCTCGCGACACCTGTCATGTCACATGTCATAATATATAGAGACAAAGGAGTGCCTATTGGAGGATAGGGATGCCCTATCCACTCACTGGACGGGACTAAAAACCATGTCCTTTGGAACTGCTGGTAGGTCACTACCCCTTTTTTTCTTCAAGGGAAAATGGACAAAACCACTGAAGCATGCATCCGACCTCTTCAGGGCACCCAACACCACTGAGAAGAAGTGGGGCCTCGAGAAAACACCCAGCATCGTCCCAAGAACGAAGCGTGAAGCTCACCCAGCAACGATTCGTGTGGATCTAACCAATTCCAACCAAACACATACAAAAACATCTAGTTAAACATAGCGACTACCAACAACAAGGCAACAAACCCACCGATTAAACAACATCAATATGTATACTATATGCGCTATATGCCCAAAGCACATCGGCCGTGACCGTGGCAGTGGCCATCTGCGCCAGCAACATCAGTCCTAGCGGATTCAGCGGCAGTGAAGCTTTCCAGGGAGTGGGTCTCGGTACTCAGTACGTCTGCAACGGTCCAAGAAGACCTACCCGCCACTTACGGTGACCCTGTCATCAAAAAAATCCATATCCATAAGTCACCCTACCTGCTTTTCTTCCCTTCTTTTTCTTTCAAGCCGCAAGCAGAACACACATGAACACAGATCCTAAGTGATCGATACAGATCATTCTATGGGAATCTGACTGCTCCATCTTCCGGCTTTCTGACTGCTCCATCTCCCCATCATCTGACCAACTATCCGACCGTCTTGTGTCAAACAGCCGCCAAAACAAAAAAGAAACATTCCTCTGCACTCTCAACTGCGAGAAGTTCAGGAGTCTACAACTTTCGCCTCTAAAAACCCAAGGAACTTAGGCTAAGAACTTTACATGATTGAACTCCACTCCACACGACATCCACACGGACCGCCCCCCCGGCACTTTCCCAAATCACGCCGATTGTTTGGGCAAATGGACGTCTCACTCAGCCTGTCATTTCACGCGTTTTATGTCAAGTCACCGAGTGGCCCTGGAGGATTGAGGTGCTTCCGTCATCCAAAAACCGATCAGAACGCCCAAAGTGAAACACTTTCACTTATCCGATTCATGAACCACATGCTCTTCGCCCACCGTGGCCCGGCCGCGCCCACAGCGCACGGTCCCATCTGCCACTGGCCACGGCGTGCACCCGCATTCATCGCCGCAGCGTAGGCACCAGGATCTGAGCCGTGCTGCTGCAAGAGCTGCAAAGCCATCCTGGGAGGCCAAACGTCGGCGAAAGAACCGAGGAACCAAACGTGCCGTGCCGTCGGCGCTGGTGTCATGACTTGGGGAATGGTGGCAAGACGCCCGAGTAGAGCAAAGATCTACAAGTAAATAGGGAAGGGAACACTTGCCTGAGTGTTCTTGAAAGACCGCCATTGCCCCTCTTTGGTGACTAGATATATGATATATAGGCTTATTGAATTAGCATCTACATCACCAGTTTGCTGCCCTTCTGCAGCCATTCACAAAAATAATGCCGAGCTTCTCCAGTTCGCCGGCCTCAAGATGGTCAGTGATGTTTTGTTGCAAAGGATTTCAGCCGCACTCAACTTCACTCAATCACCAGGTTGTTCTGCTTGTGGAATCAGCCTGCATTGTGGTCATTGTGATTTGTACGAATCTGTGGTTTTTGCAACTCGCCCTGCACCGCGCCTTGTCGCAAAGACTGATGGCGGCGTTGTAGCAAATCTCCTGTCAACTTGGATTGTGACTTGCAGGTGTGGTTCCTAACATCCAAAGGAAGAGGTCTTTCAATGTCCTAAGAAAAAAAATCTTAGCCCGAACAAATCAAACAATCCTGTAAGCATTGGCGTATCCATGTAGAACCGCAGAACCAACTGCTCAGGTATATATTGTTCACATCATCCTGCAAGACGCAAGAAATCTCCGAGGGGCGTCCGACTGATAGCAATAAACAACCCCATGTGAGACGGCCTTCCAAAGGTAAATGCACATTTATATAGGAACATTTAGGGCGAACAGCTTGATGGTTCCTGTAACCGAATTGTGGTGTTTCATTTGCTAAACCCTCGGAATGTACCAGGCTGGATTGTTCAAATCCGACACAATCCGCACCCACCCCGTCTGTAGGTGGAGCACCCGGAACAAACGAACGAACCGAACGGACGTGCAATGCAACACCTACACTGAACACTCAGTGCAACAATCTCCAATGCCTAGCGTTTGGTCAATCACCCCAGCTCTACATGAGGAAGTCTTTCTCAAAATGAAACAGGTGCCCGCATGGCGTGGACGAAAAAAGCACACTCCAAAGCGAATGAATCATGAATCCCTTCTTCTGCCCACAAGGTCTACCACGGTTGGGGGGGACTTCTTTTATCCTGCCGGCATCCAAGCCCCGCTTGAAGACGGGCATTGAAAACCAAGCAGCATTGGGCACCGCCAAGGTGCCTAGGCAACCCACGAAAGACAATAACAAATGCAAAGCATTTAGTGTAGACTCTTGATCAATAACCCCCCCCTTTGAAGAGGATGTTCAATGGGGTGGTATATGAATCAAGAGTCTACATTAGGGGGATTAAAAGATATCACGAATGCGAACATGGACCCAGAAACCCACCCAGAGTCATAAACACATGACATATGCGGCCAAAAAGGGGCCCAGAAAAAAGAAAAAACACACACACACACACCCAGAACCGTATGCGGAAACAATGAGCCCAAATACTGTCACAGCCGTCATATAGAAGCACCCATGAAGTCATAAACAACTGTGAGGCAACAATGGACCCAAGCATGAGGTGACGAGACACTGCATCATGGAGACCCTCTTTCAACATCAGCCCAAGCCTGGTTTACAGTACATCAAATTCGGTGTCGACCACTGACTACTGTTGATGTTTGCTTGGGTGATGCTGGACTCGCCCATCAGCTGATAACCGTGTTTTTGTTTTTCGTGCCGAAGGCCCCACCATAGCTTGCTAACGTTGGGTGGTTCCTGTCCGCAAATGTATCAACGTCTCTCACGTTTATATAGGAGGTTCCTGTTCCGGGGTGACTAGCTACTAACTAACTAGTGTATCAGTGTATCTCAATTGTCCATTCATGTCTCACCAGGTCGTTCTACATTCCTAGTCGTTCTACGAACTTTCGAAACAACTTACACCCACTGCAACCCAAAGACTGGACCAAGTGCCATGAAGCAGGTTTCCAACTGGACAGACCGGGTCACCTTCTTCCGAATGAGGCGCGACCTTTAAATCAAAAAGGAGCCACTTTGAGCATCTCCCCCTCCAAGTCTTTACTTTGCTTCAGCAAACCTCCTAGACCTAACTCGCCTGGTGTTCGCCAGGTTTTGCAAGAAAATCGCTGACGACCTACAGTAGGTCCTTGGGCGTGTCTCCATGCTCTTTTCATGTTCCCCCCCCATGCTCTTACAAACGGATTGGTGAACTGAAGGAGGGATTCAAGCAAGTCGTGACCCCTTTCACTTCATGGTTCCTAATGAAATCCGGATCAACAAGTACATGTGTTTGTTATATCCACAGTCAATGGACTTGGTCTCCCTGCGCACAGAAGTACTTGACAACCCCCTGTCACTTGGAACGGCGGCCCAGGGCCGAAGAACCCGGCGGGCCTGACAGCAAGCCAATGGCCTGAGGCCAAACTGTGGGATCGCACGCCTGGGAGATCCGGACAGTGGGGAGGGTGGAGGGTGGAGGGACCTCTGCTGGTTAGGACAGGCGCTGGTCCAGCGAAGGAAGAGGAGCAGTGGTTCATGGTTGCCGAGGTGCTTTCATGGTTGTTTGCTTGTTTTGTCTCCACATGTTTCATCATGTTTTATCGTTTTTCTTGATGGATGGTGTGCCGACGTGCCTTTCTTACCGCAGCTCCTGGCAAGCCACTGGCCAGACCTTATTGATACTATTCCGAATCGGTATCTTCAAATCAAAGTGTGTCACAACTCTTAACCCATCAATGAAGAGACCCAACATCGGCAGCGGCAGTTCCATACTGTTCCATGTCGGGCATTCCAAACTTCTTAGAGGATTGGTTAGGGGTTTGCCAGTACCCGTTCCTTACATCCACGACCCCTGGATGGGACTCAAAACCTGTTCCGTTGGAAGTGCTGGGGGCTCATCTTACTTGGTTTTGGTGGTTTGATCCGTCTTTCTCTCTCTTCAAGAGGGTCCCCCTTCGCCACTGACCCCCTCAGGTTGGAACAGTGCAAAAATGCAGGTCAATCCTTTTTTTCATCTGTTGGATGTTTTTCGTGAGGAAGCCAATCCCCCCCAAAAAAACGTTGCAGGTGATCCACTTTGGCTGCTTAGTCGGTCCCCGACACCACCTGTGGTGATCTTTTGTCGAGTGTTGCGGCCACCTAGCTGAGTCCTAGCGGAAGGCACTCGCTTCCAGAAACACCGGAACGAAGAGGTCCCGCCTGGATCGGGCCACCAACCTACTTCCGCCTACTCGTTTCGATTTTGACGAACTGAGACGTTGATGCAGAAGAGAGACGTTGATGCAGCTACTGAGGCAAATCCTGAGCTGAAGAACTCAAAGCATGCCGAGAAGTCGTGGAGGGTAAATAGTTGGAACATGTTGGAACAACAAAGAGAACAATTCTCAAGGTGTACTCCGAACATGTCATAGCCCTTTGGGCTTTGCAAGAAGGTGTACTCCAAACATGTCATAGCCCTTTGGGCTTTGCAAGCTCAACGTGCCCACCATGTACAAAGCACCCGGGAAAAGCAAGGTCCTATCAATGCCAGCTGGCACGGAGTCTGATTTTCTGTTTCACCTTCACTCGCTGGCGATGGAGGGAAGCCTTGATATCGGATCTTGTCCACTCCGAAGAGTGCTTGAGAAAAGATGATGGCTTGAATGCTCCCAAGGGTGACTTCGAGGGCACTGGACTCGGCCCAACTCCCAATTGACCCAACCTGACTAAGAACTACAGAGTCTTGACCCATACACTTCACTTGTGCAAATCCCAATCTTCAGGCTTGGTGCCTTCACCTAGTCCCTATAGGCATGTCTCCTTGCAGCCTCCCTGAGCCTGGAGTTGTTTGCAGGCTTTTCTTGAGAGCAGGATGTGGAACCAAAAATTCCTTCCACCCTGCTGAAGGCCAGCTTGGGCAATTAGTTCTAGTGACACCCAAAGTATATTAGATCAGATTTTGACACACTGGATGGCAATGGATGATCTACATCATGGTGAAGACCTTTCAGAATTCCACTTGGGAACTGCTAGCTACTCCAAATTGAATTCGACACACCAACCAGTGCCCAGTGCCCGTTGACCGACCAAAGGGTATGGCGCCCCTTTGCCGCCGGAGCAGCGCGTTTGGAGAGCACCGATCACGGGTCATCTGCTGCAGCAGGTGCAGTGCGTCGCTCCAGAAGCAACCGGCCAAAAGAGCGCGGAAGGTCACCTGAAGATGGTCCCTGAGCAAGCAAACCCTAGAAACATGTAGGTTTCTAGACCAACCCTACGTTTTCTGCGGGTCTTGTTGTCTAGGGTATATATATATATGTATACTCCAATATACTCGACCAATATAGACCCCCAAATAGAATCAAATAGATAGAAAAGTAGATCCACACGAAACATGTATTGGAAGCCGTGCCACTATCTATGTGGGCCACGTTGTCACTACCCTCGGGTTCTAAATGCAGCCTGGAGGTCCAGAACCTCTACGTACTTCCAAAAACTTCCGAAGAATGGCACCTGGGGCCAAAGGAAAATCTCAACATGCGAGGTCCTCAATCACCTCGGAAAGAGGCGAACAAATGGAATTCACGGCTGGTGCCACTCAAGTACATCGCAGAGTCGCAGAGCCTATAGTGCATTCAACCCTTCATCCACTCCACCATCCGCCCTCCATACCCTCCTCCGGGCGCCTCATCAGGCGCCTCCTCGACCACCCGCGACGTGAGCACTTCGCTCAGCGCCCAGCGCCAGCGCCCCGGCGCCGCGGCGTTGCGCAGCGCCCGGTCGGCGCGCATCCCGCCGGTGCCGAGCGCCGTCAGCCTGGAGCGGCAAAGCGAGATGCTCGGCCAGCATGGTGTGGTGCCCGAAATGGAGCAAAGAATTCGAAAGGTGTAAAATTCTGAGATGGATGGCGGATGGCATATATAACGATTATAAAGCGAGATTGCCAAGCAAGGAAGGAACCATGCTCTGATGAGCATGCCCAATCAAGTCTGTGTCAGACTGCTGCAGCCGCCAGTTTGCCAAAATTGGTTCAGCAAACTTGTGTGAGCATTCACACCAGGCTTGGTGTAATCGAGCAAAGGACAGAAAAGGATGAGTAAATCGATGTCAATCTCATCCCCAACAAAACCAAGTACCTTCTCAGAAGGCACCTGGACCCTCCAAACCCACCCCAAACACCTTCTGAGAAGGCACTTGGATCCCTACAAATCCACAGGGCTCTTGGATTTTTTGATGATTTCTTGATGATGTAGTCTCCAGAAACTGTTGAAAATCAAACAGCCTCCTTGCTTCGTTCTGAAAGAGAAGTTTCTGTTGAAGACCAGCAGCGGCCAAGTCAATCAAGTCAGCCCTGAAAGGCAACAATGAGCCGGTGCACACCAGAAGCCTCCAAACAAAACTTTCAATGAGTCGGTCAAGTTGAAACAATCAAAGAGCGCCACCAAAATCCGCCAAAATAGGCCCAACACGTCGGTCAAACGATTGACGTGATAGTTTATGCTATGCTTGTGCCGCGCACAAGTATATGCTCAGGCGATTTTTGACTTCAGCTGCAGCTGCTCCTGTTGTTGGTGGACTTGCCAGCGAGTCGGAGTTGATGTGCTTGTTTCTGTTGTTGGTCTTCTTCCTATTCTTCATCCACTGCTCCTTCAACGTCTTCTTTCCTCCCCTTCTTCCTCCCCTCCTCCTGTTCTCTTGTCTTGTTCTTGCACGGATGACACGAAAAATGAACAATGATGACGATGAAAAACATCTATGGATTGACGTCACAGGGACGTTGGGCCATGGTGGCAATTGTGGCCAGTAGATGGTGATTCCGATTCCTATGGTCCTGATTGGAAACAACAAAATATGCATAGGTTAGATTAGGTTAGCATAGGTTGAAGAACCCTATAGCCTATCAGATAGGTAACTGATATGTACCACTACAAGGCTCCCTCTTCTTTATATAATCCCAACTATGAACCATTATATACCCATCTATTCAAGTGGGGATGCATTTAAAACATCGCCACGGATTATTACTACTATTTTTTTCGGGCGACCTGCCTGCAAACTACAATAGGTTAAATACGTTTAAACACATGGCAACAAGATGCAACAAGTAACAGCAACGATGCCAAGGGCCCAGCTGCCAAGTGCAAGTGAGCTGCAAATTCAAAACCTCCCGCCATTCTTGGCACTTGCTGCAAGCGCCGATGGCGGCAGAGAAGCCTTGGCCAAGACACATGTGAAGCTGGCGGAACTTCCGTTTGTAGGGGAAACAGGTTGCTTTTTCCCCAGCCTCCCACTCAGTCTCAGTGCGTTTTCGCCACTGCTTGCCCCCGCCTCCCCCTACTGGGTGCCCCTCTCGTGTTTTCGCTACCGAAACGCTGATCGGATCGACTCGAAGCTGTGTCTGTTGCATGCGCTGCAGCCAGCAGGTGGCCGCATGCCAGGCAGCGCCTCGCGAGGAGGCTCCGGCTCAAGAGCAATTCTTGAAAACATATTTCTTTCTTTCCTCTTTGCAATGATCTGACACCGAGGCACAACCTGTTTGGTCCCCAATGCGGGAACAATTTACGGCGAGAAAACACGAATGCACGGAAGGCACGAAGGCAAGAAACTAAGCGTGCGGCCGAACGAAAGCAAAGCTGGTTGCGATTTCAAGTACATCAAGGTGCTTAATTACGAATTTGAACAAGCGGTGGTGTCGTCAACGTAAAGGACAAATCGTTCCGTGTTTTCCTTGTGCTGGTCAGCGTGTTCTGAAACCAGCGTGTAGCATTGAGGCCACCTACAAGTGAAGGCCGGGATGCAATGCCTGGCTTCACTGCAGAAAAACCCAATCTGCGTGCTGACAAAGCCTTAGTACAATATGCGAAAGGCATGGCAATGACCCCTTTGCGAACAGGCATTTTGAAACAAATTGCGAAGGTGCTAATGTCCCGTCCCAAAGTGGGAGAGACATGATACACAAGCGGATTGTGTTTTGAAGCGTACCTAGCAGCGACCCCACACTTCTTAGTCCCAGGAATGAGTGTTGAGGCTAGCGTACGCGCGTGCGCAATGAAGTCGATATGTCGTTTTCAGGACAAACAGGCTCGCCATGAGGCCAGCGCAGCGACATCACCCATTGCAGTACAAGTAAGGCATCAATAAACGCTGTTGGCCAGTTGTCTTGTGCTTGACAGACCTGGTTGCGTTTTTCCCAGTCGATGTTAAGAACAAGTGCATTGTCTGTAGACATGAGAGGGTTAAGTGAAAACTTATTTTCCTTGTCTTCGGTGAGTGAAAAACTATTCTGAATGCTTTGGATATCTTCAAGATATAGCGGTGTCTTGTCTTTTTCGGTAGCCCTGCATGTTGGTTCCACAGTTTGTGAGGAAGAGGGGTTCAACATGATCAAAACAGCGATGTTCAGATTGTCACCAGAGTTTTTTTGGAGTCAACATGAAAACATGAAAAACTCGTAGCCTAGCACAAATATGGCTTTTTCAAGGTTCACACTTCAAAGCACATCGGTGGGCTTGCGCACTTGGCACATCGATGATTCCTTTGCGAACGAAGGTCCGCTCCCTGCTTGCGGACCTTGTCACGTTTCTCCCCTTTTTCCTGCGCACGACTGGTGGTCTGCTGGGTCTTCTGCTTTGGAAGGTGTCATGTTTTTTCGGCCACCACCTCACCATTCACATACACAAAGGTCGCTGAGCTATCCTGCAAACTGGGAAGGGCAAGCTTTTTTTCTCTGCAGGGGATCAGAAGTGAGGTTGCTAGCACCAGGAGGACCTCTGTGCAATTCATTCGATCTTTTCAGCATTCTTCTACAGTAAAGGAACGTTTTTTCTACTCGTGGCAACTGAACTCCTTCTTTACCTAGTGGGTTGAACCTGCCCGAACTAGTCCTGTGCGATGGTAAGAGGTACAATCCTATTGTGATGCGATGTGGTGCTTTGCTGGGTCGGAGCGATCCCCGCAAGCACCCAAACACCAACCTTCCAAGCACTCCCTGGGACCAAAAACACACACACACACACACGCAAACACCAAAGCCCAACAAAGCCCCCCCACGAGAAAATGCAAAAGTTTGTTGTATTGATCCGTGTATGCTAGACTGTATTAACTAATGTAGTACCGAAAAAGTAAAACCAAATACGGTATATTATGTTTTTCAGCTATACCTGGCATCGACTAGGGTTCGACGACTGTGCAGCGAGGCGCTGGCGCAGCACGAGACTGATTGCTAAAATTGTCTGCTTAAAGCTGCTTCTATAATATAGTAAATAGTTATACCGCATATATATATATATAATATATATACCTCAACATATCGGCCAATGTTTTCTTTCCATCTGGTTCTGCAAAAGCATGTGCCATCATCCAAGCACTTCCAAAGCAATCGATCGCGGAACAGCTTCTCCTGAGCCCAGCTTCTCCAGGCAGCTGCCATCTCGTCCAGTTCCCCCGCGCTGCAAAAACCGAAGGCCACTGCCTGCGACAAGAAGGACCCTATCTCGAGATGGAAAAGCTGGTAGATGAAGTTATAAATCGACTATATATAATTAGGTGCTATAACTGACAACACGACAAGCATCTGTAGTAGCATAGGATATGAGTCCGGGAGTCCATCTGAGCCGATCTTCCACCGAATTGTAAGGTGACACCTTTAGGAGGGATTCAAGTTCATCTGCACAATCTTCACTCCCCAGGAGATGGAGACCACTAGCACTAGCCAGTTCCAACTATGTTGGCTCATAGCACGAAACCACGGGATGGAGCAATCCTCATTTGCAGCTTTCAAGGCATCTATGCATAATACATTATAGCTACGCCCCTTGAGATCCAAGGGGTTCTCAACTGGCCGGATAGTCCTGAGAAAGAAGCTCAATCCATGCAGTGGATGCAGAGTTAGTTAGTAGTAGTTAGAGTCGATAGCACAAACAAGCCCAAAAGACTCAAATGCATGAAGTGCAATACCATCCCCCAGGAATCGAAGTGGATAACCACCCCCCTTGGTAGAGGAACATCTCCATTGCAAGGCAGCATGCCATGCCATGCCATCCCACTTCCATGATTGTCTGAAGGATTCCTGATCCAAAATCCTGTTGTTTCGTCAAGCCACTCTGTGGCCTGCCTCCAAGTCCCGGTATGCATGTGCTTTTGGGGGGCGAGAGTGTTTTTGCTCACCTTCAGATTTGGCGGGGTTTTACAAAAAATACCTACAAAAACAATCATTGAACCAACACCAGCCATGAGCACAACACATGTTTTGGTGGATTGAGAGTCGATGGCGCACATGTCCAAGTTTGGTGGTCTATATGAACCCCATGGAACAAAAGTCATGACAAAAGGGTGCCAGTGCCATCGAACCTCTGAAAACACTGGTACAATATGCTGCGAAACCAGTGGCAAAATGTACCAAAATATACAAAAGTCAAGAAGAAGAAGAAGAAGGGCTCCCCCTGGTGCCCTTCTTACTTAAGGACACTCAAGAAATAAGCTCACTATCCTTGCCCACCTGCGGTCCGAAGGTCTCCAGCGTCCGCGTGGCCCAGGACTCTCCGAAGAAGCGCTTCGCGGCCGCGGCATCGGTGCCGGAGTCGGAGTGGGTAACGGTGGACGTGGTGAAGCGAAGGCTGGTGAAACCCGCCTGGGACGGACGGGGCGTGGGATTGGGACGTTCAACAGAGCGCTTTTCCATCTTCGGAGTGGTGAAATGGGATGGGCCAAATGGGCATCGCAAAGTGTTATTGGAGGGTTTTAAGCCTTTCAGGGCATAAGGGAGAATGGATTGGATCTGAGATTCATTTGGCATACCTGGAGACATGGTCTCCACCCACTAATGACTGTCTGTGCATGTTTATATATATATATTACATATACAATATTATATTATTCTATACTATAGCATATATATATATATACACAGTAATATACTGTCTGTATACAGTATATGTCTCATAATTGTCTCATAATAGCATCCTAGTCTGGTGCCAATTGCTTCGCACAGGGTTCTATCCTTGTATACAAACCTATCAAAGCAACTTCAACATCAATCTCAGAAGTAGCATTCATGCGCCAAAGTTTGCCGGATTCTCAGACCGACTCGCTGTGTGGGGCGAGTCTGGGGTTCTTTGTGGAGGAGGTCTACAGCTTTTGAGGTGGAAACGGTTCACATATATTATATATAAAGGCGCTCCTATCCTTCTGATACTTGTTGCTGTCGCTGCTTCTTGTGTGTATATATATATATGTTTTCATTTATTGCAGGCTTGTTCCTGTTGGGTCCTGTCTCCAACTATCTCATTGCCAGGTGCACATTTATGTGTACTATATTATGTACTGTAATAATTATATATACTACCTTCGGATGACATGGGATTTAGACAACATACATTTGCCTTATCGCCCTTGTGATCTGCACCCAGTATACATCGTTCAAGCCTATGGCATTATGGGTTCCAAACTGGGAATGCCCCGATTTCAAGTCAACATCATCTGCAATCACACATGACCTGAGACACTTCTCATGTTCCATCACCCGCAACCAATCCCCCCAACCGATCTGCCATCTCAGGGGCTGAGTTCATCCACTTCTTCAAATAAAGCCCAGCATCTGGTTCCCCTCCATTCCTCCGAGCCGTCATCATATAGACCTCTCTCCATCGGTGAAGACCCGGCAACACCGGCGCTCCTTGCCTCAGACGCAGAAAAACCTCCAGCAAAGCACCCCAAACAAGTTCTCCCACATACCGGTGTAGCCCAGAACGCATAGCCATGACCATGACCTCTGTTTTGGATCCGGAACCTTGGATCAAATGCTGGGAGATATGTCGGGGATGTCATAAAGGGTCCGAGGTCACAACAGAAGGGCTCTGTATATATATGGATGGGCACTTTTTAGGGGGGGAAACTGGTCAACGAAAAGGGGAAAGTGGTCCAACTTGGGGGGGGAAGAGGCCACAACATCGAACAACAACATGGACATGAAGAGAATAAGTACCAACCTCCAGATTTGAATCGCTGAAAGAACCAACACTCCACACCTTCGCGCCTTGGGCGTCACATGGTGTCACTGATTGACTTCCGAAGCTTTGGAAGGAACTTCAAGAACACTGAACCTCCCTGTCAGTTGGATTCAGGATCCCCGAAGCGAAGAATCACCCCCCACACCCTCGACACACGGTCGCGTGCGCGCTCGCAGCTCGCTCTACTTGGCCATGCGACATGGTGGAATAGGCCACCTCTCGAGCTGCCACCAAGCCGCCCGCCTTGCATACACGCCTGGCATGCAAGTGGTGATTTGTATCTCGGAGGCATTCATTTGGGCTGGCTCCAAGCTGAACCATGGATGGGAATGGGTTGGTGTGGCATAGCCTGGAAGGGCACAACCTTGGCCAAACATGGTCTCTGTCATTGCTTCGCCAGGAGTTCTGAGGTTGGCTGTACTTCTGGTTCCGTCGCGGGCCGTCGTTGAGGCAGTGCGGCACCGGGGATGACGGGTGAGCTGACATTCAACGAAACATCACTCAACGAAACCGATGGTTCTCTGTGTTCTCCCTATACTTCCAAGCCACAAACACTCACCCCAAAAATGCCACACGTTCTTCCCAACATCCACCACTTCAGTAGCAGAACCAGCACCCCCCCCGCCCTGCTTTTCGCACTAAAATCGCCTCATCTCCTGCAGCGCGCGGAGCGGTTCGGAGAGGTGTTGCAGCAGCTGATGTGCGAAGACGACATCGAAGGTCTCATCCTCCTGAGCACGGGATGACCTTCCAACAGATGGGTCTGTCAACCTGGACCATGTAGCTGGTCCACTTCCGGTGACCAACCCGTCGGTATCCTGGTTTTGGGCCCCATGCAATCACGGATCCGCCCTTCGGGCGGATTCGTCGTCCCCAATGGCATCTGCGTTCGAAGCATGGAAAATGGGTCGACCCAAGTTCCTACCACGAAGCCAGGGGATCCATGTCTGCAAGATGCCTCTCCAAATGACATCCAAGAAACATCAAACCATGGGGCCATGCATGGCCATGCCCAACATCGTCCAAGCCACATAAGGCAATTCATAGGCACTGGCCACCTCAAAGGTCACAGACCCCGTCCGCTCCTCGCTGTCCCGTTCTGCTGCCTTCGCCTTGGCCGTGGCAATGACCTCCGCACTGCTGTCGACGCCCACGACGGAGCTGACGCGGGAGGCGAAGCCGCGAGTGATGGAGCCCGGCCCGCAGCCGACCTCAGCGGGTGCGGAAGGTTGGTTGGTAAGGCGATGGTTGGTAAGGCGAGTGCGAGCTCAGCGAAGAAGGAATCCAACGAGAAAAGGTGGTATAGTTATACCGGAACATACCAGAACCCTCTAACAGGTCACCAATTGACATCTGTCAGGGCCCAACGACTCTCTATATATGATCTATATAGGACACCTATTGGAGGATGCATGGTATGGTAGTCAGACTCAACTGGGTACCCGAGCGGGGTTGGCCGTCCAAGCTCTTAAGGAAGCAAGCTGTTCTTCCATGTTCTTCCGAATTTGATTCCGCCCAGCAAGGGTGAAAAGCCACCAAAGCATTCGTTTACAGCCAGCACCATGGATTGGAGGCAAGATACATCGTCAGGGATGTCTAGAAAACTCCAAATTCAATCATGGAAGTGGAAAGCCCCTGGAAGAAGATCATTCTCTGGTCAGCTCCCAGGATTCGTCTAACAAACCGATTTTACAGAACACCGTCGACTTGGCCGGAGGGACATCCAAAAGCTTGACGTGAGGTCGGAGGAAAGGAAGCAAAAACTGCGCCGAATCCTCCACCGTCCGAGCACCATGTTGACTCACCACGCTCGCTGCATGCCCATGAGTGTAGCGTTCCATGGCTCTTAGAGATTGATCAGAGATAGACGCCCCCATGGGGAGTGAGCCGTGGAATCGAGTGGGTGCTAGTGCATGACTGAGTATGACTGACATTTCGCTCGTGGCTCCGTTTTCCTGTTTTTTTTTCCAATACCGCACATATATACGAGTGGCTAGGCTTGGGTCATGAAGAATGGGCCACTGCGTGTGGACACAATGAGCTTGGATCCCTCACCTTAGGCTTCAGAATGCGTTCATGGCCTTGGGTCCCAAGCGAACAAAAGAAATCAAATCCAACAGCTCACAGCTGCCATGTAGAAAGCCTGGTAGAAAGGTGCGTAGATTTTTGTCAAGGGGAGGGCGTCCAACGGTCTGGACCGGTGTGGGCCGAACTCAACTCGCTTTCACGGTCCGGTCGGATCACATGGGATCCTCATGCTTTTTCCACTTCAAGGACAGAGAAGTATTGTCTATTTTCCGTGAGAGGCAGAGGTCGTTGCGGCATGTTGTGGCATGTTGTTGCATGTGGATACGTTCTTGAGCCACAGGTCACGGGCACGCCATTCACGGGCTGAAAGATTTGTAACATGTGTTGGAGCACCAAGTTATGATGCAAGCAAACTGATCACTCTTCTGGCACTCTTTCATAGTTCCCCTTGATTGATCTAAGGGTATTGGGTTGGGGTATTGGAGGCTTCCGTTTGCCTTTCAGGGCTAGATCTTTAAAAAGGCACACACTTCTCTCTCTGTCTTCCTCTCTCTCTCTCTCTCGCTCTCTGTCTCCCTCTCTCTTCCTCTCTCTCTATCCCAGGGTCTCCACAGGCCTTTCTCACATGCATTTAGCAGCGCGTTGCGGCTGATCTGATCTGGAGGTGTCTGGCGCCTTCAGGCGACGCTTCGGTAGCGCGACGGCGTGCGACAGGCCAAGCGCAGCTGTTGAGATGAGAAGTGACATTATGTGACTTATGTGACGGCCCAAAGAGGCATTGGATGAATGGATGGATGGATGGACCCTCCAAAAAAAAGCATAGCCTTTGAAGTGACATTGGAGACGGGCGGAGTTGGTGAAGAAACTCTGTGGTTAGCAACATCCATGGCCGAAGTACAGTTGACACACTTGGACAGCAAATGACTCTAAGCTGTAGACTCTGATCTGATAGCTGCGTGACCATCAAAGAAAACCAATCTAGCATTTAGCTTGCGTTTTTGGATTCTGCAATGAATTCTGCATGTTTCCAGTGGAGTTACTCCTTTTGTTCCCCCCTTGAAAGACAAAAACATCCATGTATATACTACACTTCGCAAACAAGGACTTCATATATGAAGCACTTGAGATCACTTGAGCAAGGGCACTCGATCATTTTCTCCACAATCCCAACGGCATGCTGCCAGCGGCTTGCAGATGCACAAACATTCAGCACCTGAGCACGTACATATGAGGCTGACCATGCCAATTCTGGGCCATAAGGCATGCTTGCAAACCCAGATCATCCATGTGTAGTCAATATATATATATATGTATAATATATACATGTACAAGTACCCTCCTTATAACTTTGTGGCCTTGATGTAAGCAACCAACCACTGTATTCCGGCCTGGGTCTCACCCCCGCCTGGCCCCGCTTTTTCCCTGGCGCCCTTTCCAGCCTTCCCCTTAGACCTCCGTGTGACGAAAAGTGGCGAGGATCCGATGGAAGTCGGACGGTTTCTCCGAATGAAGGTCCACGGACGTCGACGCGGGCCTCTCGATCCGATCGGCCTCTCCTCTTCGAAAAACCAGGTGGACTTGGAGCTGATCCAGCTCCAGGAGCGACATGGAGCCACTCATGGAGCCACTCATGGAGCCATGGGGCGTGATTCGTTGGTTTTTGCAGGTGATGCACGTGCTTCCTGGCTATGGAAACCCTCGCGGAGAGGACCTCAACGTGAGCAAATGGGCCAAGACACAGCGCTGTAGCACATCTGGTCCGGCCAAACCAGGCTGCTGAGCATCTGATGCCTTGGGGGAAGCATCTGGCAAATCTTGTAGACAAGATCGGTGTCTTTTGATATAGTGACAATTAGTGACATTTGTTTGGTTCGTTTGGTCAAGCCACGTGGATGAAGCGGTACAGCGGTACAAGCCAACGCTTGCCCAGAGTAAGTGAAAGTATCTGCGGTGGTCTGGGCTTCAGGTAGATTCTTTGATTCATTTTTACTCCCCGTATGAATGAAAAGGATTTACAGTACCCCTTGGGCGGGGTCTTACTAGTCAAGAGTCTACATTACGGACGTTGCAGTCATGGCGCAGTAGTCCCAAAGAGATCTCCCAGGCCGCGTCCACCTGCTCAGCAGAAAGGCAGGCCGTGCGGGCGGTGGGAGCCGTGGACGAGAGGAACAAGTGGGAAGAACTTGTTGGGCTTTTCAGGACTCATTGGTTGAGTAGAAGAGAAGTTCATTCATCACTGAGTTGCACATATATCCTGCTTTCCCTGCGCGAACCATTGCCCAGCTTAGCAGTGCGTTCCCATTACTTCCAGCTGTGCGTGACGCCGACAGCGCCGGCAGCTCTGCGTACACATGCTGCGACGGACTCACCTGTCGTCATGTCGTCGCATGGCCAAGGTTTCTTCGCAAAAACAACTACTACCCCAGCCCCTGGAGCCAGATTGCATTGGAATGTACAAACCCTTTTTCTTTTGCTGCAGGGGGAGTGGGCGCATGTCACGGCAACCGATTCCCTTTGCTACTTGTGGGTGTCTACCTGCGACAGGCGGGCTACCTGTGGCAACAAATTGTGGGCTCGCTTTTGTGCTGAGCTGATCTAGATGCAGGTACCTTCCCGAGAACTTTGTGAATACATCTTCCTTGTTTTTGGAAAATGACAAACATTGACATGTCGTGTAATGCATACTCCTGATGGCAGGCAATCCACCACTCCAAATCTTTGAGACCTCCGGGCCCCCATCCGGCACTGCGAAAACCAGAACAAGCGATCGCTGGGCGCTTGCCGGATCGCTGCAGCAGCTTAAGTAGCCCAATCACTGCAATTGCCCCACCTTCTCCAAGTTGAGACAGAACAAACATCTTCCCAAGAACTGTTAAAATGCCGAGTGATGGATCCCAGTGGATCCATTTTGTTCACAGGAACCGGGTTCGGTGTATGGTAAACCAGTCCGAGAAAACCACTGCAGTACCAGCTATACAGTGATGGTCACCGGATCCCCTTCATGTGGGAACACTGGAAGCTGGTGCTCGGAGCTTCGATGAATGATCGAAGCAGCGAAGCAGCTCCGCAAGTCTCCCCTGAGCGCTTGGAATCCGCTAAGATCACGAGTGGTCAAAGGAACAACCGGAGTCCGAGAGTGGCCCACACAGGCTGTTGCTGTTCCTGCACACATCTGCAAACATGGATTGTCTTGAGTCTTGACTTCTAACTCCCAGCAGGTTCCAGCACTCATGCTTCAAACATCTTCAAATTCTCGTCCTTCGCGCCGTGTGGCGCGTGCGTAAAAACGACGTTCGCCTGGCAGGTGCTGATGGCCACGCTGAAGGTGATGGATGAGCCTCAGTTGCAGCTGCGGTGCTGAAGGCACTGTCCTGGAGGACAAACAGCTACGACATGAGCCGATAATTACGCCACGAAGCAAGAGTTTGTGCGAGCCGTGAGTCTGTAAACTATAGAGTTTGAACTGTGCATGTGAGACCGAACTTTGTTGTATCAAGAGTGTATGTGAATGCTAGGATTCCAACCACAATTTATAAACATGTTTTAAACCTAACAACCAGTGTTCTACTAGACGACTACCTTTCTTTTCATTATGGTCTCTCTGAAGGCTAGGATGGGATTGGGCTCTGAAGGCGCGGCTCGCTCCTCACCAGCTTCCAGTCCCACATTCAGAGGATCTGGTGTGTATGGTTTGGTTTTCTGGGACTGGTTTACCATAGGCCGAACAAACACCTGGTTCCAACGTGGAAAACTCATCTCGATTCCCCGATGGCCGTGGCCGTCGCGGTGAGACACCGGCGCGACGGCCCCAGGAATTGGGACTGGAAGGCTGCAAACATTCCCTGAAGGGACGATGATTCTTATAAGGGGTCAAAACATGGTTTGTTCAAACGTTGAATGACGTTCAAAATTAAACACACTTAGTATTTACCTATAAGATCCTATAAGTACAGTACATTTGGTTTGTTCAGATGTCTTTTAAGGGGTCAAAGTATATAGGTAAACCTGTTGCAGTCCCATGGATTGGTATAGGGACACGAAACCCCACCCCATGGCCCTTTAAGGATGCTGCCACATGGACGCCCCTTTAACCTCCGACACGAGGGGTCTTAAACTCCACACTGTAACCTGCAACTCGTGGTGAATGTAGCTATGGATCAATCAAAATTGGAGTGTACAACCTCTTGGGGGTTTGGGGGTATTGGGGGGGGTTGATGAAGAGTCTACATAAGGCAATCTTGAATCAAATTCTGGTGGCTAGAAACACCTGAGACTACCCGAACCCAACAGACTACCGGTAGTCTGACGCAGTCGTCCGTTTCGTGCCAGGTCCACCATTGATCTGAAACCGCCGTTGTCACGGTGGGTCACCGGTTGCGGCAATGATCAAACGGTCACAAGTGACAACGCTTTAGCTGCTTTTTGGGGTTTCCATGGATGGATCGATCTAGTAACAATACCAAAAACATATCTACAAATTATATATATTTTTTTATTATAGCTTCTGCATTTTTGGGGGGGGTTGGGGGGGTACCCTCTAAATTAATCAGCCAATAGTGAAAGGCCTGCTATGCGCTGCACTTGTGTAACCTACTCTTCCAAATGCGGAAGTGGACACTGGGTCGCAGCAAAAAATACAAATCGTCTGCCAAGTAACATGCTTCCACGGTTTCTTCGTTTCTAGGGGGGGCACAGCGGCACAGTCAAGCTGATCTTGAAGCGACTTCATGTGCCTTAATTGTTTCCCCCAAGGTCAGAAACAAAACTCACAAAACAACTGTTTCCCTGCACCAGGTCGGCAGTTTAGCAGCTTTCCCTTTGCAAAGGATTTGGTTGCTAGCTGCTAAGCTCGCATCCGGCGACCCAACAAATAGGCTAAGCGGCTTGGTGCAAGACCCACCAACCGTCCTCTATAGGAGGCCCTCAGGACCCCAGGCATAGTGCGGGACCCGAGCACGGCGTTGCTGTTTTGGACCGTCTTGAGGCCAACGTGCCCACCACGGGTGGGTTGGCAAGTGAGACCCAGTAGCCCAAGGGGTTTTCCGGGCAAAGAGCCCTCCAGTTGTAGATGCTCATGGTCTCCAGGACACTTCTATGCGAGCATGTCCACCATTGAGCGTTTTGTCAATGATTTTCCTTCTTCCTTGGGGTTGAGCTGAGAGGTCTCCCTGTTATAGCCACAGGCTTGAAATCACTTGAATTGACCTGGTTTGCTGAGCGTCATTCGTGGCGCAAAATAAAGGGCGCCCTGGCGTGTCATCGTGTCATGGCCTGCTTCTCCATGCTTCTGGCCGAAGCCAGAAGTCCAAGGCCTGCTTCTGCGAGACGAAGTCCCTCAAGACTGAAGGACTGATAAAAAATAGCTCCGACTCCTGGGCTGACAGTCCCCTGAAATGGGATTGTGTTTTCTTGTTGCACTATCCTGCGCTGCCTGGATGGTGACGGGGTTAAGCACTTCTCCCGCGATAAACCTCAAGGCGCTCATGTTAGGAGCTTCTACTGGAGAGTCAACGGTCGGCAACAAAATGGATTTACACTGGACCACCCTGTAAGAAGCCCCGCTTGTAAGGCCTCGGGGTATAGCGCAACATACTAGCTCAACAGTCATTCCACCAAAACAGGTCACGTACCCCGCTGCGACATGCGATCCTAGATGTTTTCGTAAAACATCGTAAAACCCTCCACCGAAACATCACCCAGCCCAGGCAGGTGTAGGCCCCCAAAAAAAAACATCGGCTTAAACAGTTTGTTGCAGTTTCCATGCAACAGCGAGATAGTGGATAAAAACTGATTCTCTTCAGTGCATGGTCCATCACGCTCGAATTATTGTCAGTTGCCCGACACATACACACAAAACTGGCCTTCTTGGCTGCCATTTCATTTCGGCACCCTCACATTGCAATGAATCAATGAATCACCAGCTCACACAATCATTTTACATACGTGTCCTTTTGCTGCATCATTGTCTCTACGACACTGTTCAATGTCTGACAACAAGCAGCCGTACATTGCAAACAATTTAGACACATTCTGGTGATTCTGCTGCATACATAGACAGAGGATGGTTGATTGCAAGACAAATTGGGCATGCTTAGTGTGCTGCATTTTAAACCTTACCATCCTGCCATTGATTTCGGCACTTCAATGATTTGCGAGCCCTCTCATGATCTCATGGGCTGTCCTCCAGGACTTGCCCTGGCAAAACAGCGTTAAAAAAAAGGCTCTCTGCCCGTCTCAGCTGTCTTTGCCGTATGACAGCGCAAAGGACATTGCGAGCGGAAACGAAGCCAGCCACCAATGCACTCAGAGTGGAAAATGTGTCCACATGGGAGTTGCCTCGGCCGACCGGGAACCCGAGAACCTTCGCCGGTCCGTCTGAAGAAGTGGGCCCACACTTGCCTACAGGCAAACCTCTTGGAGATCTCACCTTCTAAACAGGTTGTACATGCATGGTTACACCTCGTATAGTGAGTGTAGCATCCCTGAGAACATCTGAGAACCCTCGGACCCTCCATACCAGGGCACGGACTCTCGGAAAGGTCTGGACTCGAAGAAAAGCACCCTGGCCCTTGCATTGCTTCAGCCGGGGTGTTCAGCCTGAACTCGGAACTTCACTGCGTACCGAGCATGGTTTGTCCAAGAACACCTGAATGAGTTTCATGACCCTCGGTATTTTGTTCCGCTAACCCGCGCAGGGCGCTTCCGCCCCTCTTCCAACACCCGGACACCAGGACCCCTCTCAGGTGTGATGAGCTTGACACCCAAACAGGTTACAGGTTTCGGCTGGGGAGAACAAGCACATCCCTGATGCATCAAGCGGGGTTTATCTATTTTTGGAACGACATTCTCACCCTATATCACCGTATATCACAGATAGAAGAACAAGTTACACCGCTTCCTCCTCAAAGCAGTTGAGGCAAATGCTGCACTGCTCTCCTTCATGTCCTGAATGGTGTGCCGTTTTCCGCACCACAAATACAACACGCCGATGTTCGGGGACACTGCTGACTGCAAACGTCGACATCGGAATCATCGGATGTCCCATGGCCAGTCTAAAGCACCGGAATGTCAGAAGAATCGATTGACATGTCGACTGAGATGTCGACTGAGAGAGTCAGGACTCAGGACTCTTCTCTTTTTGTGACCCACGCCAGGTGTTCTTGTGTTGGATGCTCATGCGCATGGGTCCTTGCATGTCCTCGCCATCGGATAATTGGCTTGAATGTCGTCGCGGGCAGAAGCTTTCGAAAGTTAAAGCTTTTTGCGGGCTTTCCTATATATACCCAGACACTCCATATATGCCTACATTGATCCCCAGTCAACCACCCCAATTGATCGGTATATAAATATACATACATGGAGTGTCTGGGATAGATGGGAAGTGACTGCTTTGTTTGGGGGGGAGGGGCGCAGGGCATCGCAGGGCGCAGGGCAATGGATCCACACGGGGGTAGCTGGGTCACTTGGCCCTGTTCCAAGGGTTCTATCTTCCAAAGAACCGCCAGCACACATGCGCCAGAAGTCACCAAAAGGTGGTGTTTAGTCTCGAAGTGAGTGGATACCCATTACCTCCATTCAGCACCCCTTTGGAACTGCTGGTGGTTTCTTCTACTTTGAGACCATGTTCTTGCCCCAAAATGGCCCGAGAACCACGGCGCAAATGGTTCCAACTAGTCATGCGCAGGCCCAGCATCTCTTCTCAAGTTGGATGCTCTGGGGCCTCGGCGGCACCTCGTTCACTTCAACCTCCATTCGATCCTCCTGGCGGCTGCTCCGGTCGCCGGTCGCCGCGGACACACCCAACTGATGCAGGTGGTCCAACTCGGAGGTCCAAGCATGCTGCAGCAGCAGGTTCGGGTGATGCCACATGGTGCAACATGGTATTTTTGGTTCTACGTTTTCAAGGAGAGTTCCTTTTTTCAGCCAGGTGGCTGTTTCCACATGTTTCAACACAAAAATCGCCCTCTGAGGAAGAACCGTTGAGCGAACCCTTCCAGGTTCCACCTGAGATCCCCAAAACAGGGGAAACCTCCTTGGACCGCTTTGAGAAAACCCACCGGTCACCTCCCGCGAACGGCACGGAACCGACCCGTCTTCGCGGAGATCCCGCAAGTCGAGAACCCTCGCAGTCCGTGAAGATGCAGAGCAAGTGCAGAAACAAAATGTCCCAGGTATCCAGGATCACTGAAGCGGTCAGCGCGATCATGTCCCACGTGAAGCCGTCCTTGTGACTCGCTTGAGACATCAAGTTGCAATTTAATCTTTGCAAGTTCCAAGATCTATGAGAACCACTGGGCCTATCCCGGCCCAATGAAGCAAAGCAACTACAAAAAATGCACAAACAATGTCCAACCAACTGAGACGGCTGAGGCGCTCAATTTCCATCATTTGACTTCTATACTCCCAAGCTGTTTGCCTGAAACACCAACTTTCCACCTGACCTGTTCATATTAAGCCCCACCCAGGTTTTGCAAAGAGGTGATCCACGGCCAACCCCATGCGCCCCCGCCATACACTCCCCGAAATGCGATGCGAAGTGGGAAGAAAAGGCTCTCAAGACTCAAGGGGTACGACCTACAGTATCCGGGAGCTGCTTAGCGGGGGCGAGGACTGGGCCCTCCAAAGCTTTTGGCTCGGATCAAGCGACCTGAGCTTTGGTCGGTCTGGATGGGTGACCCAAGCACTTAGATGAGTACAACAAGGCAATTTGAAGATTCCACCGCCGTGTGAACCCCACAAAGGTATCTATAAATCTGGAGGCTTTCAACTTTCAATATAGTCATAGCCAAACGTTGAGCCTATGGCACCAACGAGGATCTCAGCGGAATGCTGGGGTGCTCTGACAAGCCACTACTACCTTTTGGGACCCTTTGAACCTCCAGCAATGCACTGAAAGACACCAAAATTGAAGCCCAAAAATCTTCTGAATAAAGAACAAAAACAAAGAAAACACGCACATCAAATATAGTTCTATTTTGGTCGAAGGTGATTCTCCAAAAGAAACAACTGATAGCACAAATACCGCCGGATCATCACGGTCATGAGGTCAAAACACTGTTTGACAGCTATTTGTAGGCCCATTTTGTTGGACCAAAAAACCCTTAAAAAAGGGTTTACCAAAGAAGGATGCCCCTGACTAAAGGATGAAACCTGACGTACATGACCAAATCGGATCCGGCAAGGCCCAAGCATCTGAAATCGAGAAGCTCCGTTCCGCTGGGCTTCCCCACCAGAAAAACGAGAAGCACCGAAAAAACACACCCATCGACTCAGCAGTCACGGCCATCAAGCAAAGCACCCCAAAACATCAAAAAAAAACGGCCCAGGTGCAAACTCATTCACGCTGGACATGGAGAGAATCGCCAGTGCTAATGCGACACAGGTCGCTCCCTGTGCCACCGTGCGCCTCCGCAGCATCGCAGCACCGTGGGCCACAGCCTGCGGTGCTGCGTCTCTCGGGGCGACGAGGGCTGAACCTCGTCACGGAGCTGCGAACCGAGCGGAACCAGAACGAAAAAAAGAACGGTATAGACTCCAGGTGTCGAATTATGATGGCCTTTCTGCAATCCCAACATCATCTACGAGTATCATCTTGGAATATCTTGGAATGTGGTCACTACATGTCACTACCACAATCATGGGCTCGTAAAGCACTGCTTCACTGATGCATCCATGTTGGCTTCGATGGTCAGTTCTCCAACCACACAGGTCGGCATCCCAAACGGAATTCCCATCGAGCACTGACTCTGCGCCCTGTACGCTGCGTTGCCTTGGTAAGTAAGCGCAAGAGCAGCGCGAAGCTTGCTAGGTTGAGCGGCTTGTTGGTCCGCAGGGCTTCGGCCGCCACGAAGACATCCAGCACGAATATCGCAAACCTCCACGCAAGCGACAAGTCGAATCCTTTCAACAAACATCTACAACTTCCGCATTGTGCGTCACTTTGTAGTAGTGAATCAAGGTCGAAAAAGCCTAGACTGCTGCAACAAAGCACTCGCACCCACAATTGCCACAGGACATGCAAGCAATTAGTAGGTAAGAGAAAGATTCGGACTATATAGATGTGATTCGAACATGACTTTGGTGATGATTTGATGATATTTGATGTATCTTTTGTGAACCCCAGCGCAGCACCACTGCAATTCTGAGAAGAACATCGAGCAACCCAAGTGCCAGGGCCCCAAAGAGACCAGGTGAAGGCTAATTAATTACAAACCTGCATGATTATGATAGTCACATTCAATACCTTTTTCTTGGGCAGCTGTTTAGTGACGACAGGCGGACAGCAAAACCAATGAATTGGCACAAGTCCGCTATCTAGAATCTAGACCCAAGTTGCACGACTATGTACTACCTGCGTGCATTACAATATTTTATAATCATCCTACCTGTGTGCTCAGGTCCTTTTCTACGCGCAAAAAGTTTACATGTTTCATGCGCTCAGGTCCTAACACGTGTTTTCCTTTTGCACACGAAGCAATTTGGACACCAAAACGACAAAGAACACAAGGGGACAGGGAACTCTAGTTGGATCATCAAAGAACAGAAAAAACGCATGGTGTGGGTTCCTGTTTCAGAGGCTCATGTCGGGTGTTGGGCCGCCAGCTTAGTACCTGGAAGGACGTCTGTGCCACCCTATGTTCACTTTTCTTTTAACACACCACCAGAAGAAGAAACACACGTTTTTCCGGTGAATGATGTGAGGCCGAGCTTTCGGCACCGAGGCCGAAAGCTCGCGTGCCGCGTGCCTCACGACGACCTCTGCCCAGCCAGCGTGCATGGGCCCAGAGTCTGGGCGAGGTTCGCGCCCGGCCAAGCGTACAAAAAATTGAGCATCAAATCTGCAGAAATCGAGGGCCGAGCTGACAGGACTAAGACGATGCTTCTAAGACGAATGGGTCGATCGAGAGATCGGATAGGCAATCAAATACCTTCTGAACAGTCTTTTGGGTTATATGGCTATATAGCAGGCTGGAGTATATTACTTTGGGTTATATGGCTATCATACTCCAGCCTACTATAGCTATATAGCCCAGTCTGACAGTTCATGAACAGTCATTGCCTGCGATCCGTCGAGATCGGCCAAGTCGTGCTTGCAGGATTTCTTCATTCACCATTTCTGGAAGCCCCAGAAATGGCCCTCCAACAAGAGCATGGTCCATATGATACACTGGAAGCTGCAACTCTATGCCCACAGCCACTATGCCTAGCACCACCTGAAGAAAAACAGCTCCAAATAGTTCCAAAAACACCATCCGAAGACCACTTTATCCACTTTCATGCGAACGTGAGAGAGCAGTATGGTAAGTCACCCGCAAGAGCACAACCGCGGACCCGCGGATGCGGCGGCCAGGGTCGGTGAGAGTGACGGACCAGGGGCCCGGTCACATCCGGTGGCCAATTGAACATATGGAAGTGGAGAACACCTATAACTAGCCTATAGGCAGCCTATATAATTGATCTATATTGATCTAGTATTGGAAAACGAGTCTTCCAAGGTGCCTTGTGATCCATCTGAGATGGATATATAAAGAAATTGATATCATGAGCCCGTCAGACCTATGTCAGACTGGAGCCTTGCCACGTCTAGCTTCAACCCAGCCACTCTGCAGCCGTAGCTCGCCTCGGTCGTGCTAAGCACCGAGACTGTGCTGGGCCCCGAGACTCCCCATCTGTATCGCCGACGGCGAGTGTCGCTGGCGCGGTTTCGCCGCGCTACGAACGGAGCAAGGATGCTACTAGGGGCTGGCCTTACTACCAGGAACAAGGACGCTACTAGGAGCAAAGGGCATCGCTACTCATGCTTGGTCACATCTGCATCAAGAATGGAGAAGAATTGGTTCCATCAATCAGTAGGTAACCGGACCGTTGCAAAGCCCATATCATCATCTATAAAGGGGCTTCCAAACATATTCATCCGCCGTCCCAGCCGCTGCTATCAGCCATTGGGTGACCCTTCAGAAGCTAGGTGCTGGGACCCGACCACAGGTCTGTGAACCTGGGAGCCGAAGCAGGTCACCAGGGTTTGCACCTCTTCCTCTTGCAGGGTGGGGACAGGTAGAAATCCAGTAAAACACAATCCTTTTGGCCATACCTAGACTCGGACTCGGGTCACCTCAAGCCTGAAGACCATATATCCTACAACTTACAACCGTGTTGGAAACAGTCCACTAGACTCCCCAGGGGAGATTCTCTTGATTCTCTTGAAATTGTCTTGGTTGTCTTGTGGAGATTCCCTGGGTGGAACATGTCTTGAACATTCCGGTGTTCGCTTCCCCTGCTCCATTGCTGCCCCACAGCCACTCAAAGTGCGAGGGAGCGAAGATTTCACAAACATGCGCTGGAGCTTGGTGCTTGGCATCAAAATGAAGGTCAACCTGCTCGGACTTGTCACTGGGCTGGGTTTCCAGCCGGATTGGCCAGTAGAACCGGGACAAAAAGCCCCATCCCGTGCCCATCCCCTCCAGAAGGGACATACACCCACCCAGTTTGGAAAACTACAACCTCACCCGATCGGCTCGGTAACCGAACCTTTATCCACGGCTCCATTCCTCCTCCTCCTCTCCTCCCTCCTCTCCGAGGTGCGCATGACCTGCATCACCCGCAGCGCTTGGGGCCAGGAGGGGCAAGAACCCAGGGCCTTGCAAAACCGACCATCGACCGTCTTCGACTTGTACCGACCTTCTTCGATGCTCCTGGAGGCAGCGAAATTCCTGTGGAGGTGGGGTCTGGGTCGAAGAAGGGCCACTTCTACAGTGGTTTCAGAGTAGCTGAGTAGCATGGCACTGGATCTCTTGGACAAATGGGGGGTCCATCATTGCAGCGATCGAACCTCTGAGCCCCTGTGCGATCGAACGTAACCACTGTCGGACCTCTTTGGGGGACAGGTTGTGTTGGAGGCACCATCCCGATCCCAAAGAGGTCGTGTTGGAGGCCGTGGAAGGCTTCCAATCTCCAGGTGTTGTATGTCCCCTCAAAACCCGTGGTATTCCTACGAACCTCAAAACATCCCTATAATATAGTGCATTGTAGCACTAGGTACTGCAGGATACTGCAGGCAAATATTCCAGTCCCATGGATTATCTGGGTATTATAAATGGGTTGCCCTGGCTGGTGTACGGGAATCCATGGTTTGCAACCCCCAAAACGAATCAAAACGATGGATTTCCTGTAGAATTCCACTGAAACCAATTCTGGGAATGTTTGACATCACACCTTCATCACACCCATCAGCTTCCCCTTCTTTCCCCGCCAGGCCACCAATGAAGCATGCACCGCATTCGGCGCAGTAACGACACTGCTCAGCAAGTGAAGACCTTGACGCCAATGACTCTCAGGTCGGAGGGCCTTCATGGCAACCTTGGATTTGCTCCAAGAACAGCGAAACAAATCTTCCCCCAAATAAACACACCCAGGAACTGGGAAATCAACATCACTCCCAGTCTAGGGCCTTCATGGCAAGCTCACAGCTTTTCACTTGCGACACGCGCGAAGACTTCTCGAACGGACGAGGATCTTGGACAAAGAGAAAAAAATGACCCTACCAGGACCTTCCAACAGGTGATGTTGTTGCTCACGGGTGGTTTTTGGAGCACCACCTGGCGCAAATATGTGCAACATAGATCAACATAGAGCTTTTTTCTGGGCAGAAGTGAAGCCATTCTTCCAAATCGATCATCGACATGTGCGATATGATGGCACCTCTGCGACTGTCCCACGAAGACCTAGCCTTTCGAGTTGGTGACAGAAGCAGCCGAAGTCGCAGCGGAAGCCACGAGGCCGGGATGGTCAAATGCTCCATGTAAGGCAAATATGCCATACATGGAGGGTCTGGGTTATTCTGAGATACATGGAGGGTGCTCCAACCCCCGAAACTCACACAGTCTGAGCATGTCTGAGTCGGTGTACCTCACAGTCTGACCATGTCCAACTCTCCAACTCTTTGACCGAAACACTACATGGGTTGGAACTCTTCAAGTCTCAACCAGCAGTTCCATTTTGGGGTGCTTGATTGGAGGTGCCACATGGAACTCCTCAAAACCCACATGGAACTCCTCAAGGTCTTCAACCCGAGATGGGGCAACACCACACCACCATGCCGTTTCCACCATGCTGGGCCCCCGGTCGCTGTAGTGGATCTCATTCGGAGCCACTCCTCGGGTCGCAGCCGATGCGTTTTCTCATCCACCAGGGAGGTTTGCAAGCTGGGGCCAAGATTGATGCTTAGTGGATGCCCAAGAGCCAAGGAGTTTCGATAATCGATTGCCGCAAATTCTGATTTCTAATCGATGTCGATTGCCGCTTGCCAGATATGAGTTGCAGATGTTTTTCGACATCGATTAGATTTGTTGTCTTGGTGACCCATGTCGCCCCTCCAATGCTGGAAAGACGTTTTTTTTTCCGGCGACAGCGACGTGGTGACGTCAGGAGCATCCAGTACAACTAGGCAACCTGCCTGTGGTTTTCATGTCCCGTTGCTTGGTCATTCATGACGCCAACATGCCAAACAATTCACAAGTAATGACCATCCTCTGCATGAGAATGCTCACCATAGCCGTCCTTTTTGCAAGAGGGACATGGATGCTTCTTTGGAAAGCCAGTTGTCTCCTGAATCCAATATTCGTGTACTTCTTCTCTGGGCGTGATGGGGGTGTAATGGACCCCCATAAAAACGTCTACCTACAAAACAAATGCAAGCCATACCACGCATATAGGTGACTAGCCGCCTCTCCAACCGTGGGTCATGGTGGAAAACACTGGGCGATAGGCCATTGCTTAGAGTTTGGAAGCAAAGTTGGAGGGTGCTGAATCTTGTCTTGTCAAGGCTCTCCAGGTTTTCATGAAATCCAAGATGTGCAGGCAGGATGTCCACACACTCTTCTTCTCCTTGGCTCAAGTGGATGAGGTTCTCATCGGGCGAAAACTCGTGACGGTGAGCTCCTTCACACACTCTTGTTTTTTCAATCCCTCTCTCTCTATATATATATATTATACATTAGAAAAACATACAGTGGTCTTGGAGGTTCGATATGCACCGGCACCCAAAAATGTCTTGGACAAATGGAGGTCCATTCCATATAAACAACCTTTTGGGGATGGTGCCATCTAATGATTCTGACATATCTGTATGTATATTATATACACATATGCATTCTATGGGCAGGGTGGTGAACGTAACACCAAATGTCCGCCATTGTGGAGCTTGTGGGCACACGTAAACCTTGACATGATCCCTCCAGGATCCAAAATCTACCAGGACAAAATGGATTCATGTAGTGGGGCCACAGCATGATCCTGCATTGAACAACCAACCTTCCTGTAAGTTGCAGCATCCCCATCCCCACCATGGCTTGGTGGTGTTTCTTGGTCCCAAGCTGACCTATTGAAACTTGCGCACCCTTCGGTCGCAAGGGTGCCGCCGAGAAGGTCACCCCTGCACCAGGCGGTTTTCCGGCGGATCCCAGCGGCCCGGAGTACCAATAAGGCCGGACATGGCATTCATATAGTACGTATACACGAGACTGTAACTACGATTTGATGGGAGGCTGTAGTATGATCATTGTACTAGATTCAACTTTATGATTTAAATAGGACAAAGCTACACAGTTCGACCCCCCTGGAAGAAAGAACATAGACCAACATCGATTGACGGACATTGATTGGGTTCCCCGATGTAAATACACACCTTTATGATCCTTTATGCATCTACTGTAAATATGGTTTTCCTACTGCGGAAATGTTCTTCTCCTTTTGGACATGTTCAAAAAGATGTTAGTTTCCTCGTGCTTCCTCGATGGATTCCAAAAACATCCTCGCAAAACACACATGTTCTGTCAAACATCACGGGAGTTTCTGCTTGCTGCTGACTGAACACAGCGATGCGCAAGGGCCCAACTGGCATCATCAACTGGCATCATCAACTGGCCAAGTGACACAAGCAGACAAGGCTGCACTGCAGTGGAAGGCATTCACTTGAATCTGGCCTCGTGTGGCGGCACTCCGCTTAGCCGCAACTATGGTAATAACCATTAAAATACACCAAAACAAAACCAATTGTTGGATATTATTGGCCTATTTTGGTCATTAAGCACAAGTTATTTTGCTTTATTCTGGCTCAGGCTGTGTCGTCGGGTTCTTTACTGTATACCGTATAATATCCATAATATTATACAATGGTTCCGATTGGAGGACTCGCGGCCTTTGCAAACCGTTTGCTCAAAACATGGGCAATGAATGTCTGCAGAAAATATGGCATTGGTCAAAGCAGCAATAAACAACCAGCTGAGGTTTTGCACTTGGCCTTCGGCAACTTGGCCCATGAACCAGCCTCCAATATTGACCAACCACTGCTTATTTATTCTTCCTAGGTGCACACAGGTGTTCCATCCCACATGAGTGCCCCACATCAATCTTTTGCATTTGCTTTCCAGGAGCCGGGAAAGAACATCTTTCCAGGATATGGGCGCTTATGTTAACAAGAAGATCCCTAATCAATGGTTGTTTGATTGTTTTCGTCTATGTTCCTTCTTCCTTGGGGTGGAGCCGGGAAGTCTCACTATTTTAAGGCGCGTTGGCTCAGCCATATTGGGGAAAATCAGCATCACCCGAAAACCCACAAAGGCGATGCTGGCTCTTACTGGACCAGCAGCTGTGGACCATCTGGGGCAACAGTTCCATGACCACGGAGGCCTTTGCGCCAGCCAGGAAGGAGGTCGCCGCCTGGCTGGAATTTGGCAGTGCACTACTAGCAGTTCAATGTCGGAATGGTCTTTAATCCGCCGACCCTGCCCTAGCCATCATGGCCGGGCAGGGTGCCGCCTGAGACCACTTTTGGTGTGGAGCTTTGCTGTGCCGGAACATAGCTTTGTCAATATGTTAAGACTCCCTGTGTTCTCCTTCCTTT